CTTTGTATATTTTGGAGATCAGCCCTCTGTTAGATGTGGGGTTGGTGAAGATTTTTTTCCCAAGTCTGTGGGCTACCATTTTGTCTTATACACTGTGTTTTTTGCCTTGTAGAAGCTTCTCGGTTTCAGAAGGTCCCATTTGTTCATTGTTGATCTCAGTGTCAGTGCTATTGATGTTATGCTCAGGAAGCTGTTTCCTGTACCGATTCGTTCAAAGGATGCAATTGTGCCCCTACACCCAAGGGTAGCTCTGAGTTCCCTGGTTTACAGATTTAATCACAGGTTTCAGTGTGCACTTTGTAAAGACAAAATTGTGAAAGGAAATTAAGTGTATATAGACAGAGTGGGGAGGAAGGGAGAGGATTAAAGAGGGAGAGGGGTAGTTTGAATGTAATTGTCCCCTTAAGCTCATAGGGTGTGGCTTTGTTGGAGTGGGTATGGCCTTGCAAGAAGTATGTCATCGTGGGAGCAGGCTTTGAGGTTTCCCATTGTGGGGTATTCCTTTATACTCTGTGAAGATGTGTTACTGTGATTGGTCTAAATAAAAAAGTAAATGGCCAGTAGCTGGAAAGAAGATACAGCAGGAACTTCTGGACAGAGAGCGCTCTGGGAAGAAAGGCGGAGTCGCCAGCCAGACTTGGAATAACCAGGATGCACATAATAGAGATGAGGTAATGAAAGCATGGAAAAACATAAGTAAAAGAATGCACTGATTTAAATTATAAGAGCTAGTGGGCCAAGTCGAGCACTCTTACTTAGTAAGTCTCTGTGTCTTGTGAGCTGGCGGTCCAAAGAAAACTACATCTACGTATGGTGCTCAACATCTGGCCATGCATCTCCACAGAAGGCCCGAGAAAGATAAAAGTTTGGAACATAGTCATATGTGGCTTCCTTGTGACCAAGGTCTCTTGTGTTGACCGCCTGAGGGCTGGAGGCGTGCACCAGTGCCATGTGCTAAGCTGAGACAACAGTTGACATAGCAGTTTAAGACAGCCCTCAGAAAAAGCTGCAGATGGGGCTGGAGAGATGGCTCAGTTAAGAGCACTGGCTGCTCTTCCAGGAGTTCTGATCTTAATTCCCAGCACCTACATAACAGCTCACAACCATCTGTAATGATTTAATGAGATCTGGTGCCCTCCTCTGTCCTGCAAGGGACACATGCAGGCAGATGCTTAGTAAAGCCAGGTCCAGACATAGAAAACCTCTAAGAAGGTACAGTATGTTTACAAATGTGCTTAGATGCTAAAGGAAAGACAGACAGACAGACAGAGAATGTATATAGACAGTAATAAGAAGTTTAAAAATAAGAAAAGTCTTTAAAAATACTTTAAAAAGCCACATAAAGATGGGAAATACACATGGTATCTTTATCCTGTGTGGTGCATTACTGACTTTAAATATTTTGAATGCTAATGAACAGAGAATAACAGCTGCCAAGAGACATTCAATTGCGGAAGGGACTAGCCTAGATAATTCAAAAATGCTCTAACTTTAAAATGGAAGTAAAAATTGTGTTGCTTTGGGTAAGAGGCTATGCTTTTTTTTCCACGGAAAATGAAAGGCTGTGTATTTGTTCAAAGTTAAAGAAGATCAGGTTTGATTGGGGAAAGGGAGATCCCCTGAAAATCCCAGCTATAGACATAAACGTAGAAAAACTACAAGAATCATATATTTTACCTGTTCATATATTTAAAAAAAAAGAAACTTTGGCTGGCATGTGCAATGCACAGTCCTTACTTGTGTTAATGTAGACATGTATGTTAGCTTTGAAAATGTGTGTTTTCAGAGCAAGGTGACCAGACACCAATGAAAATGTGTGACCCAGGTTATCCAGCCTTTCAGAACACATCTGCCGTAGCTTCCTCAAAGTTCTGCACCCAAGTTTCAAGGCTGCTGGCTGAGACAGTTCAGCCTCACAGACTATTCCATCAGACTTCAGATAAGACCTACGTTTACCCATCACACAACTAAACAATGGCTAGTTTTCCTAGGACTTGATCATTACCTTAAAATCTTAGGGTTCCCTAAAGATTCTGTTGCCCCTCAGACAACAAGAAGCAGTCCAGAGAACATGACACCCACATTCCCAAGAGGTGGGGTGAGTGGCTTTTGGTCTTTCAGTGGGTTATGGTTGTCACCATTGGGGTTGGTTACAAATTGCTATTGGTAATGGTGAGAAAAAAAAAAAAAAAACTGAAGGATACTAGATTCAGGGACCTCATTCTGAAAAGGAAAAATATAGAAATGTAGAAATGATAAGATAAAAGAGTGGATTATTGAATCAACTTTATTTGAAAAAAATCTAATTTTCATTTTACACACCAATCCCAGTTCCCCCTCACTCCTTTTCTCCCCCTTACCACCCCCCCCCCCCACTTCACAGAGGGTCTATAAGTAAGGCCTTCCTTGGGGAGTCAACAAAGTCAACAAAGGCATACCAAGTTGAGACACGGCCAAGCCCTTTACCTTTGTATCAAGGCTGAAAAAAGGTATTCTACCACAGAGAATGGGCTCCTGGTGCCCCTGCCAGGAACCCTCCAAACAGGTCAGGTGACATAATTGTCACCCACATTGAGAAGGTCCCCAGCTATTCCCAAGTCTCCATGACAACAGGTTCCCCAGCTGTCAGTTCATAGTCCGTGGAGGATAATATTAAACAAATAGAGGTAAAATGATAATAGAAAAACAGACACAGCATGCCAACTTTTCAGACATGACCCATTTATTCAAGGAATTCAAATTTCACTTGGCAAAGTATATCCAGGGCAGGGTTTGTGATAATTATGTCACCAGAAGCAAACACATTTTATACAGTTAATTGACCATGGGGTAGTATCTAGAGGAAAGGCCAAACTTAAAAGACAAAAAGAATAGTGCCTTATGCATGTGTGGTGGGGTGGTAATTACACACTCCATCTCCTTAGCAAGTGAACTAACAGCGTTTATGGAAGGGGTGTGGTGAGGCACAAAGTACTCTTTGAAGGCCATGGCTGGAGGGAGAATTGTCTTCCCAAGGATGTCCAGTTGACAATGGGCTCCAATTCCGTGGAGTGGGTTGGTGGATAGAAAATGTGGCATCTCTGCAACAAGAATCTGCTCAGTTCTTCCATGGCTTCAAATATGTGAACGTATTCAAAGGTAAGGTATTTTAAATTCTCTCACTGTTGAGGACTTTAAGAAATAAAACAATAGGAAGTGAGGATGGAAAGAGAAGTTGAGAAGATCAGGGAGTGATGGTTCGGGAGAGGCAGACGCAGCTACTCCAGGCAGCACCATGAAGGTGCTCAAAGGCAAGCAGCGGCAGTTTACACGACAGCAACTAATGCTAACTTAGTGTTTCTTTCCTAATTAAAAAAATAAATAAATAGAAATGGAGAAACATGACTCTCCATAATGACAATGTGCCACTTGTTTTACACCTTGAAATAATTTAATTAAATATATTAACAAAACATCACAACCTTTGCTTTTGCACTTTACACAAGTACATGGTATATAATGAGCTGTTTTAGCATCATTCGTCATCCGTAACTTCAGTTTGCCTTGTATTATCTCAGAGGAAATCATCTCACTTCTTCCATTAATTTACCACTCACCTCAAAAAAATAGTAAAAAAAAAAAAAAAAAAAAAAAAAAATCCTCTGTCAATGCTGTCAGAATACATATTATACGTTCCAGGCTTTGATGGATTGAAAAAGAGCAATGTACACACATCAGCCCCCACAGAATCATGTCACTGCAGAACTTCACTATGGTGAGGCAGCCCTCAACTGTGCCTGGTCAGGTTAGAACCCTGTCCTCATTAGGAACTCCATCATAATGTCACAATGCGCAGTATTACTACTTAACAGACCACCAAAATGCTCCCACTAACAGCTATTCTTTCTACACCAATATTAGCCCATAGGACCAGAAAAGATGACATAGTCTGAAATGATTTATTGAAAAGTAAAATTTGTAAGATGCAATCTATTCTGGTCTTACATTTAATTAAGAACCAAATGATGAAACATCATTTCTGATTTATATACATCATGATCCAGTTCTTAGAAAAATGTACTTCAACTACAAATGCTACCGTATGCAAAAATAATTTGTTTTACTTAATTTTAATGACTTTCCCCAACTCCAATATAAGAAATATTAAAAGAACTTAAAATTTAATGGTTAAAAGCTATTTTCCCTATTTATTAAAAAATGTTTTGTATTGGTAACATACAATGCCCCATGTAAGGCACAATCTTTTTCTTAAAGAAAACCCAACAAATTAGGTTTTTTGTTTTCTACGGTTATAGGACAGAGCCACTTTGCAGGTATATCATTAAAAACATCTTAATCCGGACCTAAAGTGAAAAACGACTACTGTTTCTACAGAGCCAAGGTGGGTAGCTGCACCTACACCAATCCCAACAGTTCTTGCTTTAACCTCCTGGGGTGTTCCAGGAAGGCCATCTTCAGCTATCAGAAATGGGTGCCTTCTGTTTTGCATCAGCCCTCCATTGTACTTCTGTCTGGGCTACCAGAGTGCTACCACCACCACAGCCAGGGTATTGCCAGGTACCTGAACTTAGCATCTAAGAGCAGGGTAGGGCAGGCAGGGCAAATGCTAGCCTCCCCCTTCATGATCTCTCTCCTGAGCTTCTACATCTTCCTTCTCTTCTTAACCCTGGCCCTACCTGTAATCCAGCCCCAGGAAACAAAGAATCCACACAACTATTACATCAACATAAATCTAGATGCTCTTGCCAGTTCATTATATGTCACTAATACAACATTTAAGTGTTTCAGTTAAAAAACAAAAAACAAACAAACAAAAAACTTAAAATTGGAGAAAAGAGAAGAGTCACAATGACAAATATGATTGTCATGTAAGGCCCTGTAAATTCAACTGAAATGAAGGGGGAAATATAAGAATGAAAACCAACACAATTCCAGGCTTACACAGAGATTGGTAGGAATAGTGCTTTGTAAAAACATTAGTATTGAGACACACAACTTAGGTTTTGAAGGTCTTTACTTCCCACTGAACATCAAAAATAATGGTTAACCAGATCTCTTCCAGAGTGACCACTCTCACTGTGAGCTTTCCAGTCTCCATATAAAGGGGAATGAGTTTGGAAGAGGATTTTGGGTTACATGGGGCATACCAGCTAAGGAAGAGGGCCAACAGAAAAACAGAACGGAGCAGCAAAGGGACCAATGGGTGACCTAGGAGACAGCTGTTACCACTGAAGCTCTACTAAAGGGAAAACAGGTGAGTTTCCAAATGTAAACTTGCTTAGTTTGTTACGTTTAGAAGTAAAACAACTTAATGTTAATTCTTAGAGATATTACATACTCCACGGCTAGTATATTGTGGCACAACACCTCATAAATAAATATAAATACCGTTTTCCTTGTAATGTATATTGGCTCTTAAATTTTTTAGAAAATGAATGGTCTATAAAAGTATGTAAAATCATTAGTAACTAAACAACACCAACAAATAATAAAATAATACTTTCAACTCTCAGCCAACATCTCAGCATAGTTCATATCTTTAGTTACACAGATTAATGAAATTAAAAACTAAAGCAATCATGCTTGCTAACATGAACTAGTTCTGCATCTACTAAATGATAAAAGTTTCCACACATTTAACATTTTCAATTAAATTCCATTTCCTGTCTTGACATATTACAATGAAAACAAATGTCCCTATCAGAGGACTCTGGTGAGTATCTGGCCTCTGCCATCTCTCTGGGGAAAGCATATTTAGTAATCAGATTAGGTGTCTGAAACTGTTTTCAAAACTCCCAAGTCCTGTTAAACAAACACCAAGTTCCCACCTTTCAAAACTTTGAATCTTCACTGCATCAAGGCCAATTTGTTACCAGCAGCTAAGTATGGGAGAAAGCCCTGGTACTGTACTAAGATTCAGTCTAGTACTGAAGAATGATGGGCATTGGACCCCATGATATGCAAACCTAAAGTATGCATGTCTATCAGGATAGCATGTCCACTATGCTCAATTTTATCTCTAAAAGAGGAAAATTGCTTTAGGGTTACATTTGAAGAAAATATGAGAAATTCCTCACTAATGCTTGTAAGGGCATCAAAGTCATACGAAAAGACAGGACTACTTACATCAATTTTCTAGGTCACATTAAGACAAACCACTCACCAACAAATATGACTCTTAGTTAGAGCCACATGACAAATGCCACCATCTCTTTTCTAACCACATTTTGCCAACTAAACGGAAAAAAAAAAAATCATCAATTTTCATCATAGTAATCTGAGAGGAAACTACACAATTGTGTCACAAGCGATTCCTTTGAGAATTTGGTTATCTTAAGACAATTAGTAGCTAAAAAGGGAACTGTGTCCATTCCTGATAAGAGGAGAATGTCTACAGATAAACCTGGCAAGGTTTAAAACATTTATTAAAACAAAATACTGAAAAAAAAATAACTAAAACTAGTTATTCCCTCTAATGTGAATGATTATAATCACATATATTCTTATATTTTCTTACGGCATATTTTATCTTTAATAAGAAAATACACCAAATCATGATGCTAGTATTGAAACCTAAAACCAACTTTACAAGTAAACACTAAATGCTGGTCAATAATGTGTGAACAATGCACCTTCCAAGGGGAATGAAAACCAACAGCAACAGGGCAGAAAAGCTGAAACGACAGATACACTTTAACTGACCAAAACAAAACCTTAGACATTCACAAAAAACTCCAATTACAATGCAGTTCATCATTTGTCTGTATTTTCTGTCAGCTGGTGAATCTGTTAGTAAAACTTCAAAGAAAATAATCTATTTAAGCCTTTTCTACTAAATCCATAGAAATGGTAGATGACTATTAATGAATATGAGACTTCTTGTGCTTTCCATCTGAGGAGTAAAAATCACCAATGACTTTATTTTCAGTATGATAAAACCTCAAAGTTACACTAAACATCTACACAAAATGAAGCCTTCCTCAAACCCAAATCTGTAAGAAAGTATCAACAGTGCAGACTCATCATTTGCTGAGTGAAAATGGTGACTCATAACAGTGTAGACTCAGTTCTAGATTTTAATCCACAAATATATATATACATGTATATACATGTATATATATATGTGCCTTGTGTATGACAACTGTATGAAAATAGTCTCAAAAATAAAGACAATACTTGAGAAATGAAGCAACCTAATTTCCCTGATTTTGCATCCTAGTATAGGGAAAATAAGTCTTGATGCTTCATAAGTACTTCCTAAGTTCAGAATGGCCTTAACCATGCATAGTCTCCACCAGTCCTTTGAAGTTTCAACAGTTCAGGCCGAACAATTCACCTCTGGAGTTGCACCCTGTGGTCTGGAACACTTATTGATGTCCTGACTTTTCTAAATCCGGGAGTTTTCTGACCAGTGCTTGGTGGTTCATTTTAATGCTAGCAAGGAGTCCCCCTTCAATGCCATCAGAGCCAGTGTAACTGATCTCTTCCCCATTCAGAGTGGTCATATGCCCCCCGAGGGCTTTTAAGATGGCATTGCCAGCACATATATCCCACTTTTTGATGTACGTCACGTGAATATATAGATCTGCTTTTTCTTGACTCATATCAGGCACATCCAGGAGCGCTAAAACTTTATAACCTAGAAGACAAAGAAAATTTATGTTATTACTCAAACGATTTAATAAAAAGTGTGCAAAGTCTTTAAGGACACACTTGAAGGGAACAGGATCAGACCTTCAAGAGCATTCCATACTGCCTGCCGTTGCCTATATCTAAAATCATCTCCCAACACAATCATGCTTACAAGCAACAACCCCAGTATTAGGCTCCATATAGCAACAGCACAGTCAAAATAAGCTGACTAATGAAGCTACTCTCAATTCTAGCAAGCCATTTTAAAGGAGTACTACTCCACTGCCTTTCAGTAATGCAAAGGACCTCATCTAGAATCCAGTTCATTTCAGCCTAGGATGTCCACCTTTCCTAACCAAACTGAAAAAGCATCCTCTAAGGCAAAGTCTAGAAATGCAGATAGATACAACTGGGAAATTAAATTCATCAGGCTGAAAAGTGTAACTTCAACTCTTTCTACCATAGTACTGCTGAAAAGGGATTGGAACACCACTGTTTTCTGATTTTAAATTATTTACCTGAAATAAAATAAAAAATTTGACATGATCAAAGGTTCATCAAGCCAAATTCAGGTTATGATCTACTCTTGTACACATCTCAATAGTAAAAAATTAAACATTTTAAAAAATGGTTTAATCAAATAATAATATGCCAAAAACTATACATGGCTCACAATATCTGAATATTTACTACTGTCTGTTTTCAGAACTGTGGGCTCTGATTTAAGATCAGGTAGTACAAGAGCAGAGGATATATATATATATATATATTAAAATGGATGAGCACAATATTTTCATTCTCATCTCAGACATACAAGTTGAAGAATTCAGTGATCTAAGGATTAGGCATTCTAGCGATCCCTAGGATGATGCCTGACAGTTTCCTGCCATAAGAAACATCTTAAGTCCTCCTCCTTTCCTCCTCAAAAATCCACCATTAAACACATAGAACAATTATTTTAGAGTCAAGTTACATTAAGAGCAATGTACACTGGTGGCAGCATGTGTTCGCAGTAATTTATGAATAGCTACCATTAATGTAAGACTTGGTTTCTGACATGGGCTATGGTAACTCAATCCTACCGTAGAGATGCTCCATAGGAGTCTGAGCCTGTCTTCAAAGTATGAGACAACAATTTGATCTCCTGATAAATCTTTGCCCATGGTGGAACATACTATGTGACCACAAGATGGGGATTAGCAGGGGGAACATACCAGCACCACCAGCTGGGATAATTGATGTCTGGTTTCCAAATGTCTGAAGAGCAACCTGTTTGACCATCCCTGCATGAGAGCGAGACACAATGATCTTTGGGGTCTTCTCATTGTAGGAAGAACGGGCTTTCACATTTGAACCACCATCTACCATTGCCCAAGCTGAAAAGCAAAACAGGATACCCATTAGCAACACTGAAGGATTAAAACTCCAAAGCATTACAAAATTAAAATCTTCAGAACTAAGTGACTGAAAAAAAAGTCATTTGCCACATATTTAGTCATTTCCCTCAAACAGATTATTTTTCTAAGTACACTTAATTTTTCAAGTAAGAAAACAGGCATATATTAAAACAAAGCTTCCAGGTGCCCTGTGTCCCTCACAATTAGAATGGCTTTCAAATATTTGGCATAAGCATTCTGGTAATCTCCTCATTCATCACCAAATGAGCCTATACTAGATCACCTTATAACTGAATTCTTAGCTATACTGAGGCCATTTTCTTCCTTCCCTTCAAAAGTTTCAACTCAGTATAGCCCTTAACAAGGCCGTGTCACTCCTTCTGGGAAGCAGACAACAATGCCCCCCCCCCATCACTCAGCAGAGAAAGGAGGAGCTGCCGGTGGCATCCCATCAACACACCTGAAGACCAGGTGTCCTAGGGAGAAGTGGCCTGCTCTCCACAGCAAGGAAAGACATCAGCTAAGAAGTGCTAGAAGCCTCTATTCCCCATGAAAAGAACAGAAGGCAGCAGCTTAGTGGCTGTAAGAGATACAGCTCGCTTGACAGCACCTTGCTTTAAGTAAGCAGCTACAAATCCATTTCAGGAACACTCAACAAAATAAAAACACCATAGGGAATAATGGTTAGCAGAGGCAAAATATAGTACTTGTAATTTTAAGGTACTTGCCATTTTGTGTCTGTAATTATTTATAAACAGTTTCAAACGGTGGAAAAAAAAAATATCCCCAAGTTCTTTAAATTCTTTTCTAATTAGCCTTTGCTAACTATTCTGTTTTATTAAGGAGTGAACTTACAATGCTCTAGCGCTAGGTGTCAGTATTGTGTAGAAGACTAGCAATTAGTAATTCAGTATTTAAAAGGCACTTCCTATTAAATATGCAACCCATTAATTTATAACACTTTACATGAATAAATATTCCAAAGTTTTATTTTTAAATTATGGGTAAGTCTGTCTGTGGGTCTGTAAACTTGAGCACAGATGCTAGGAAGCCAGGATAGGGTGCAGATCCCCTGGAGCAGGAGTTTCAATATGGATGCTCAGAACTGAAACTTAGAGAATTGTTATGCCAAGGGCCATAATATTTGTCCTATAAGTTGATGGAAATGAACCATTAAAAGAAGGACAAAGCCTTGCAGACAATCAGCAATAATATTTATACTAACTACTCTTTCTACAAAACAGTAACAGTTTGTGCTGTCATGTGAACATGAGGCCACTGCTTATACATTAGAAGATTGGGGCAACCTCTCTGAGTGGGACCATAGCTAGCTCAGGCATGGCAAGCAGGGCTTTGGCAAGATTTGCCCCCACCCTTCCCTCTGCCTTGGTGAAAATGTTAGATTGCATTCCTAAAGCTGGCCATCTAGGATTATTCCCTTATTTGGCCACTTACTCCCCCCTGAGGCTGACTACCAAGCCAGCCATCAAAGTACTGAAGTCCAGCAATCAAATGACCCCTTTGGCTCAACTAGTTACCATGGCCAATTAAGATTTAACACCCCATCCTAACACAGGCATTTTCCTATCACCTTTATAAACTGTCATTTGCTATGAGCCCCATCTCTCTCTTCTCTATAAACAGAGACAACCAACAAATACCTATTCCTTCTCTCCCTTTTCCCCTTCTATCTCCTTGTCCTCTATATCCTGTCTTCATCTCTTAACCCCTGCCCTTTGTTTCTCTGAGGCAAATAAATCTCCATGCTGAAAACTCGGTCTTGGAGTTTCTTGAGCAGACTTCAAGGTTCCCTACATCTGCATCCACTGATTAGGCAGGAGTACACACAAAGGTCATACCCCAACTAAAGAAGTTCCCTGACATGGTCACCCATGTCTTCTCACAGCACAGTCATCACTGACCTGACCTACATTTTGTGGGAAACTAACAAACACGACTATGAAGAAAGGACCCTAAGGATCTTGTAAGTCTCGTGCTGTAGCTACAAATGGGACAGCTACTTGTGGTGTGTAAGTGTCACTCTGCTTTATGACAATATCGAGCTCTGCATAATACAACAGATTTGGCTAGAACAACTGTACAACTTTCCATCAGAGTCCAGTGTAAGAACCCCAGACCTCACCTCCAATTCACCATCAAAGAATTCTACCTAATAGTACGTCCAACAGATTTTTTCTTTTGTTGTTTTTTTAGAAAGCTGTGTTTTATCACATACTATCAGTATCAACCATAAAAATTCTCATCACCATAGTCAGTGATGTGTACAAGGGTGGGGACAGACTTCAATCAAACCCTAGAATAAAGGTTGAGTACTATAGACAAATGGTTCAGTACCACTGCCTCTCAAAGGTGCTCACACATACTTCATACCTGTATATTCAGAGAATGGCTTATGGATAACTCCTAGTACAGGTTTGCCATTCACAGCTACACACACCATGGTAGTGACATACTTTCGAAGATCCTCTAAGAGAAAACACAAAAGCATGTTTGTTAAAGTAATGTAATTAATTTCAGGACACAACAGGATACTTACTTCACCAGAATTTAGATGTGTGAAATACCTTTCAAAAGCAAATCTGCCCTAACAGGATGAGGGCTGCTAGTAGATATGAGAGCTGGTTACTTGGGTTATTCACTCAGTCCATCATTTAAGTAACTCCATTCCTTGGGGCAAATTACAGTCAAACTTAGTTTCCTAATCCGTGTAATACAGATAACAATTATCCATCTTTAGATATAAATTAAAGTAACTTCTAATTTTATAATCAAATTCAAAAATCAAATTGGAAGTTTCAAATAGTCTTGGACAAAAGGAAAAGCTCATTAATGTATACACAGGCCAGTTCATTTCAGAAAAGTTCTTTTTGCAAACAAGCTCAATATTCTGCTTTTACTATTTACGCATATAAATCAGTTTTGCAACTTTAGTTATTAAATATGTATATGCCCATGTCCTCTTTCTTAGCAGTAAATCTATGGAGTATGAATTATGGTTCAAGTTGAATACACAGAATGTCAAAGTGAAAAAGCAGAGACTCACATACTCTGGGGGCCTGCGTTAGAGTGGGACACATTAATTTTAGCATATACCAGGGAAAGGTAAGGCAGGAATTAGTTTCCACTGTGTAAGAAAGGCTGAGAAAGTAGCACAGAGATGAAACTTGAGCTGGGTAAGAAGAACATGAGTGTGAGTGTGTGAGTGTGTATGTGTTTGGGGATTGATGGGGAGAATGCTGTTTTGCTACTTTTCACTTTCTGGCTCCATACAGTTTACTACTTTGAATTCTTATGTCAGATGTGTACATAATAAAATGTGAATTCTCAATGCGCCAAGTAAATATTGTGGCTAATACCTTTCCTTAGCACTAGGTGTCTAGCAGTAAGCTGGTGCCACTGAACGAGCTAATGCTATTACAGGAACACTTACGGTATGGGAAACGAGTAAGAATCATCCATCCAGTTAAATGGCTCATGTAACCCTTAATAACTTAGCCTGCTTGTCTGGGAATCTAATCGGAGTCTTAAAGTCTAACTGGAAACGTTCGTACATCTGTACACACTGTCTGCCTTGGTCTTTCTTCTCTAGTGTATGGTGACAATCTAACATGACACTCACCCGTGTACTCCTGTGTAGCATCAAGTGGATCAATCCAGACAGTCACACTTTCTGCAGGAACCTCCTTGGGAGAAGTTATTTCCTTCAGGATGTCCTCGGGAATCTTACGATTCCACACAATGACCTCCTTGTCAGATGCATCTACATGTTCCTCAGTATTTATCTACAGTAGTTGGTGTTACAAAGGAGAAAGTTATTATTATTTAAAAAAATGCATCTCAGATAACTTACATAAATTCTTATTAATGAAAGCTTTAAAATATTTCAAGGAATTCAATGTAAAATTTAAAAAAGCATCATATAAAAATTACAGTGACATTTCATCTTCAAATACTTTCTAATCTAATATACAAGTGTAGTGTTTTGGTTAATGACTGAGACTCCAAATACAGATAGGGTTCTAATACAAATCTAGAAACCACTTATCAAAGAAGTGAGTTACTCGAAGCTAAACCAACAGCAAAAGTCCAGAGTGTCCGAAGTTGTAGCTTGTCTACAGTCCAGTTCTGGGGAGGCTGGTGGGGAGGAGTGTGCCTCAGGCCATCCTTAGCCTATATTATGGGGCTCATAGTTTTCGTTTATTGTATTTAATTAACATTTTTCATTAATTTACACACTGACCACAGTTTCCCTCCCTCCTCTCCACCTGTCCCACCCCATCCCCAGCCACTCTATCCCCATTCCCCATCCACTCCTGTCTCCATTCAGAAAGGGGAAGCCTTCCATGGACCAAAGCACTGCACATCAAGGAGGTAGGACCAAGCTTCTCCCCCTTCATCAAGGCTGGGTGAGGTAATCCAGCTAAGTACTGGGGACAGTGGACAGGTCCTGATCCCACTGCCATGAGCCTTACAAACAGACCAAGCCACATAACTGTCACACACACATGCAGAGGGCCTAGGTCAGATGGGACTCATTTGTAAAATATAGAAAATAAAAATTCAAAGTCTGAAATTATATTTTCTAAAATATTGGACACAAGCAACTACAGTAAGAATCAACTAGACAAGGTAGTTATACAAAGATGTGCCTTAAAAACAGAATTTGAGTGCTAAGGGATAAAATGATAAAATGGCTTCAAGAATTGGTTGTCCAAAACGTACCTTTAAGCAGTAAGCTAAAATTACCTTTAGCCAGGAGATGGCTTTAATACCAACACCCCGGAGGCAGAGGCAGGGGGATCTCTGTGAGTTAGAGGCCAGCCTGGAGGAAAAAAGAACGCAGGGGCTGCAGGATGGAGAGGATGCTGTGAAACCCTGTTCTGTGACACAGCTGCTCATACACGGACTCGCAACAGCAGAGGCCATTTACACAAGCCTGAGCACAAGATCCAGCCAGTTAAAAATTCCACAAAACGCCCTGTTCATAGCTGAGGAACTAGTGGTAGTTGATGGCTCCTGGGGTGTAGCCACTGGAAGCCTATCTATGCCCCAGCAGATGACCCCGTGCAATGCATATGGGAAGTACTACTTTGAGTTACTGGGTTAAAACACATTTGTAAAAGGGCTTCAATTTGGAAGAACAAAGTGATAGGAGGATTCTAGGGAGAGCTGGACTGGGGTAGTGAGAGGTGCATATGATTGAGATCACTATATACATTTATAAAATCTTCAGAGAATAAAAATATATAAAACTAACCGGTTTATTAATACCTGTTTTAAATGCTGTGATATTTGAATAAACTCATGGTCAAAATGTTTAGTAAAGCAAATTAAATAACTTATCCCCAATTTGTGGATCCCCAGCACTTATGCTAGGCAGGAGACAGGTGTACCCCTAGAGTTTTGTGAAGGAGGAAGGCTAAAGAACCACAGAATACAGTATTCAGTGGTGGTGACACATTTCTTTAATTCCAGCACTGGGGAGATGGATCTGTGAGTTTGAGGCCAGTCTGGTCTACAATGAGAGTTCCATGGCTGTTACACAAAGAAACCCTGTCTTGAACACACACATACACACACACACACACACACACACAAAAAAAAAAAAAAAAAAAAAAAAAAAACGCCACCATGGCCGCTACCGCTGTCGCCACCACCACCACCACCACCAAGAAACATAGTATTCTAAGATTTCATTGTGCTTTGGTTCACTATAGACAAAGCTAAAATGGATAGACTGTTAGTTGTCTGGGAGCAGGGAATAGAAATAAACAGACTATTATAAAGACAGAGAAAAGATTCTGAAACTGAATGATGATAGTTCCACAACTTGGATGTACTGAATTATATACTTGATGTGGCCAAATTTCATGATATAGGAATTATGCTGCAATAGTAACTTATAAACAAACAAATTGGGTTAGCTAGAAGTCTGAAAGATGGTAGTAGATTTAAAACCTACACAGTAGGCTTTAGAGGAAGTGTCTTCTAACCCTTAGAATAACAAATGTAGACCCTGAAATGAAGAGAATGTCTAGTTCATTCCTAGGCAGTTGCGAGGCAAGAACGATTGGGGTGAAAGGCACTGAACATGAGGTCTGAAAAGAGAAATCATAGCTCCAGGGTATAACACAAAGCCAACTGCCTTCTCTATATTGTCTAATAACAATGCACAGAGCATGGAAGAGTGGGAGATAAAAAATTAGAATGGGCCTAACAAACCACGATTTGCAATTATGATTAAGCAGTGAAACAACACATAAGAACTTGAAGAAAAATTTCAGATTAACAAATGTAAAATAAACACCTATCATCAACTACATTTTGGTATGTCATTTAACTTTCTTTGCTTCACATTGACTCCTGAAATTCTTGTCTGCAGTGTTCAAATCAAGGATCCCAGCTCCATCTAAGGAGAGGTCTCTGAAAATAATATATCAGCGTACCACAGGCTATAGTCTAGGCTCTTACCTCCCATTGCCACTGACAGGGTCTGTAAGTCTTGAAGATTCTAACTCCCAATTTTACATCAACATGTCTACCAAGAAAACACTTATTTAAGCCACCAAGATCATTTTCTCACTTGTTTCCTGTGATAGCCTATATATTTCTCCTATGTTCTGTACTATATTCACTCATTTATTCAACAAATATTTAATGACTATTGTACTCTTAAGTCATTTTAGCTACTGAAATGGACTGCATAAAACAGACAAAAATAATTTCCTTCTTATTTATTTTTTCTCTCATACATTATATCCTGATCAGTTTCTCCTCCCTCCACTCCTCTCCCCCACTCCCCCGATCCGTTACTCATCCATTTCCCTTCAGAAATCATCAGGCTTCTCAGGGATATAACCAGAACAAAGCATAACAAGATATCAGGCCAGAGATAAACCCCCATATCAAGCTGGACGATGCAACCCAGTAAGGGGCAAAAGTGTCACAGACAGGGCTCATCAGTTTAGAGCACTGGCTACTCTTCCAGAGGTTCTGAGTTCAATTCCCAGCAACCACGAAGTGGCTCACAACCATCTACAGTGGGATCTGATGCTCTCTTCTGGTATAAAGTCATACATGCAGATAGAGCATTCACATGAAATAAAATAAATCCCCATTCCTACTGTTAGGTGCCCCATAAGAACACCTATTTACACAACCACAACATATACACATTGCAGACCTATAGAGACTTGTAATTGTTGCTTTGGTCTCTGAAAGTCCCCATGAGCCCTGCTTATTTGATTCTGTGGGTGTGTTCTCCTGATGTTCTTGACCCCTCTACAATCCTTCCCTTCTCTTCTTCTGCAGGGTTCCCCAAGCCCCACCGAATGTTTGGCTGTGTTGGCTATGAGTCTCTGTATCTGCTCCCATGAGCTCTGAAATGAATATTCTTTAATGACAATTTGGTTAGGCACTGATCTATGAGCAAAACAGATTATCTGTCTGTCTGTCTATCTATCTATCTATCTATCTATCTATCTATCTATCTATCTATCTATCTATCTATCTATCTATCTATCTACTTTTGGTCAGTAGTATTTGGCTCTACCCTAAGTGTCTGGGTTGTCCAGCATGAGAGTCCTGGTCCTGGCCCTCTAAGCAGTGTCAGGAGACAGACATAGTTAGCCATCAGGGAAATACAAGTCAAAATGATGACTTTGAGATTCCATCTTACAACTATCAGAAAGGTTAAGACCAAAAACACAAATGACAACTCATGCTGGCAGGGATGTGGAGCAAAGAGAACACTCACCCACTGCCAGCGTGCAAACTTATACAGCCACTATGGAAATCAACACGGCAGTGCCTCAGAAAATTGGGAATCCATCTACCTTAAGACCTAGTTATACCTCTTCTGCGTCCATACCCAAAGGATGCTCCATCCTACCAAAGGCACTTGATTAAACCTATGTCTACAGCAGCCTTATTCATATGGGAAACAGTTTCCCTTCTTAATAACCCGTCGTCTTGTTAAATCATGCCATTCCTAATATTAAAAAAAAAAAAAATTTCAGCATGTAGAGATTAAATCTAGACTTGTCACATCTACAAGGTAAATCCTAGATGATCTAATGCTAACATTACGAAGAATGTCTCCCATTTGCATATTTATGCATGTACTCAAAATCTTACCATCTTCTTACAGGGGTCTTCATATTTGTTGTACTCTTCTAATACAAACTTCTCCAGCTTACAATGTCCTCTGATCTCAAATGACACTCTCAGTCTGACCTTCCTCTACTACCATAAAGATCTCTAGTGCTTTCTTCCCACTAATAAGAATTTTTCCTCTTCAATCCTCCTAAGTTCCCAAAATGACCTTGTTTGTTTGCATATTGACTTTTCTTGAATAGCCGAGGCATAAATTCTCTTGCAAAATACTCACAAATACCTGTAGTGTAAAGCAAAAGGAAGCATTCAACTAAAATTCCCTAATTAAGAATTCCCTAATTAAGATTGTATTCTTAGCCTATGGTGGTTTGCTTTTTTTCCTGTCCCATTTATTCTCCCACACTACTCTTCTGTGTTAGCAACTCTGCCTTCTTAATGTTCAATGTCTTTGTCCGTGGATTTCAACAGGGAACCAAGTATAAGAAAACGACAAAAAGCCTATGATTTCCTACAGACAACAGTACTCACAAATCACAACTACCCCTTCTTATTCCAGCCTGGCTACTCTCAAAGAAGTCATTTACGATAGGAATGAAGCTTTCAAATAACCTATAATTTTAGTGGGCAACATAAAACATTTCTAGAAACCAGAAAATTGCAAACTGAC